GTACCACTGCTGAGGGAGGAAACAGAAAACGAAACATGTCTGAAAACCTGCCAGAAATGGATTCCTGAAATACCATCTGGCACTAAATCACATGGTTTTCTCACTTGGAGAAAAAGGAGACAAAAAAAAAAAGAAAAATCTTATGCGTTGTGTCAAAACAAAGACACGGGATTAACCCCGGAGTCACGTATGTATTCTGTGCGCCGCATGTTAAAGTCATAAAGATCTGCAAATCCCCCACAGCTTAGCCGAGCGAGCAATAAAAATGATATTATTGTTAGTAGAATTATCAACTCTAAAGGGTGCAGTATAGAGGCCAGACTCAGGTTCGTGCACAGTTTAATGTTTGCTTCCAAAGCTCTTATTGGCAGTTAATTTACAGCTTCGTACTACCTACAAACTGTGAGGGTGTCGACCTGAGAAATCCCCTTTTTAACTCATCACACCCCTGAATCATATACAGCCTTTATGGGAGGACCAGAAAAGACTAAACAGATAGCCCAACAGATGCTGGATTAGTAGATCTTTATTGATCCACGATATAGAGGAAAAGACGTCATTAGTTCTGGATGGAAGGAGACGGATGAATAGATAACATCCACACGTACCTATCATCTATACATAGATCTTTCCATACATGTTCGATGGATAATTACACGAGGGACTGACAGATGTGTCGCATGGATCAGTCAAAGACAGATCCACCTGCAACACATAAGCAGAAAATACTGAAGTTATGGCATTCAAATGGAATTTTCCATCCATCTGTTCCAATTAACATCCTTCAGGTAAATTACATTACAAATACATTTCACTTTGGCCAAATTAAGTGGAATTATATAAAAAAAAGAAGCTCCTAGAAACAAACTCTGAGGGTTCACATGTAACAGAGATGAGTATGTTGCTTGTACAGAAACTAAAATCAATTATTAGCCCCTCGGTTATCATTTATTATTGATCCGTTCATTTAATGTATGTGTATCTTTGATGTCTGGGAACAATTTTCATGTTAGAGTAACTTTCACGCAGCTTGATTATAGAAGAGTTGCCCAAGAGGGTCAAAAAGGTTAAGGCCAACCAGAGAAGATACGTTTACACCCCTAAAAGGTTTTTGTCTGTCAAAAGATGGACAAAGCATTTCTTACACGGTGAGGGCCCACTATGTCATAAGGTTTAACAATAATACATTTACGGACAACCCAGCAGTGTGTTTATCTTACTCAAGGATGCATAAAATATCCTCGACTAACTCTTTTAAAAAATTGTTAATCGAAAACCAACATGCTGTGCCTCAGTCTTCCCTACAGTACAAACTTCTATACTTTACAGATTTTGGATAATTACATCATGTTTTTAGCCTGAAACCTTTTCCTGCCTGAGTAGCATCTGCAGGTATTAATTTCAGGCTTCCAACAACCTCCAGCAACAAGGTAGAGCAGCCTGGATGTAACCTGAGAGGTAAGATCGGGAGAGAAAACACAGCACTCAGAGCCCCGCTCGCTTCTGCTCCTTAAGCTTATTGCTTTGAAGGCGACTCAGACGAGTGCATCAACATTTTTATCAACTCAGATCTTTTTTTTCTTGTCAGACAGACTTCGGCACAGAACTATAAAAGTGACAAAAACAAGACTAACACACCCGTTATTTGCCTTTAGATTAATCAGCACAGGATCCTACCAGAGCATGCTAAACAACAATTTACCCTGGACCGCAGCTCTGCGGAAACATAGGGTGCTTTCAATCAAGTCTACAGCATAATTCCTTGTTCCGTGTCTTTCTTCTGGCTCCCCCCCCGACAAGCTGGGGGAGAGGAGGAGGGAGGGGGTGTTACTGGAGGCTTAGCCAGGATATGATGTCCCTGCCTCGGATCATCTCTGAGCATCTGACGAGCTGGAGCATTATCGCCACAGACTCCCTTTATTCCTTCAGAGCTGGAGATTCTGGGTAAATTCCCCCCTCTGCCCAGAAGAAATGACAAAGAACAAGTGGGGTTCTATTATTTGTCTCCGCAACCATCTTACCGTCCATCCCAACAGGACAGCGTTCGGCCGCGTTCAAGCTGAAATTCATGATTCATTTTCCATAAACACGGCGCCACGTCAGGATCAAGTGTTTCGATCAGCGAGAGTGAAGGTCACAGATATCTGCTGCAACTTTTTTTTTTTTCTTTCCCTCGTACAATGCGCCAAGTAAAAGCTTCTAGTTTGGGTGTAAATATTCAATAAACACACATGGAGAGAGGAACAAGGTCTGAAAACTTTCAAACACATGAAAGAAATGTTCTTATGAAACAGTGACTTATCTCTCCCCAGTGGTCTGCGCACACAAACACGGACGAACGCACCCTCTGCATCTTTTAACGCACTGAAAGACCTGACAATATGAAATCCTGTGAAACTTTCTGAACATGAAACAGAATAGAAGACAAACAACTGTGAGTCTCTGTACTTCATCGTGGCATTTGCTCCCCCACAGCAGAAAACATTATTTAAACCCTGGACTGACGCTTCTGCAGCTACCGCAAGAAGGGGAATAAAAAAAAAAAACATCACCAACTAGAAAATCTACCAAATGAAATCATTACATTTTTTGGAAATAACCAATTTTATTTTATTTTTTACATTAATTATGAAGCACAAAAGGGGGCAGGAGTGGGTTGAGAAGATACAGAAACCCCTCTTACATGTTTTCTTTATTACTACAGAGGGAAAATCGTGTGCCCACGTGGATGTGCTGCTTATGTGGATTAATGAATGACTGCAAAGGCTTAGCGTGTTCATTCAGTTGCTTTATCCCCCGTCATAAGTGCTCTGGGTAAAAAATATGATTAAAGGTTGGTACATTTGGTCTGTGATCCAAGTGCGGAGAAATGGTGGGAGTCCCACCACGAAAATGCATTTATTTATTCCTGTATGTTTGTTTATTTCATTGGATCCCCATTAGCGTCTGCCATAGCTGTTGCTAATCTTTCCAGTGTCAACACATTAAAATGCGCACAAAAAGCCTGTCGCTGTTAACGGTAAAAGCAAATCCAAACTCAAAAAAAAAAAAAACGAAATAAAAATAAAAATAGATCAAACACAAAGCCACTGATCCTCCTACAACGCAGCCATGAATAATATGAATAAACGCTTCAAATTGCCACACAAGAACAGACAAATAACAGCTAATAATTACAACAGTGAGACTGGCCACATGAGGCGATAAAAGCGTGACACATCTAATAGCGGGATGCCGTCCCTGCTATTCGTGATTTGCAATTTATGAGCAGTTTTTCAATTTTAATCAATTTTTTTTGGGGGTAATAAATTCAGACTCTTCAAAACAGATGTGATAATAACCAAGATTTATGCATCCAAAATTTACTGATTGTACATTTAAAATCAGGATCACATCCAGTCGTAGTTCAGCGGCCTCTGATTACAACAGAAAATCGCAGCTGGCGGCAGTAGTGGCCATTCCAACTCACACTGTAGTTATAATGAGCGAATAAGAAATTGTGCTGTATACGTCCTTATTGGTGAGAGGAAAACGTTCTACTGTGCTGTTATGCTGATTAAGGTAGTGCAAAGCAATCTACCGCAAGCCAGCTTAACATTGCCCCTGTGACAGGGTATTTAGAAGAGTAGTGAACTGCAAGAAAGCTCAATTACATCCTCCCAGCATGTACTGCATAAATCACGGTAAATCCTCTTTCAAGCCTGTCTTTCGGAAATTACTGGAATGTTACAGCAGAAAACACAGAGACGGATGCATCAGTGCAACTCCGAGGAGGAGAGCTTAGTGGTGGGGGGGGGGAAAGATGCCGAGTAATGCACAGTTCTGCAACTTCCTGTTTTGACTGCGCCACGCCCAGAGAGTCGGAGCGGCCGAGATGAGGTTGTAAACGTGCGGCGAGATCAGTGGCGTGAAGAGCTGCAGGTACTTCAGCGGAGGCAAGAAATAAAAAAGGCAGGTCTGAAGAAGTAATTTCAGAGGGTAATTTTAAACATGCAGTGAGGGAGGAGCTGTGTCATAGTGAGCGGATTGAAAAAGGAAACCTCACACGTGTGACCTTATTTCTAATATATAAATGCACCGTGCACAGAAATACTACTGAAAGGCCAGTGGTTTGATCAAATGGCTGCTATCTAAATAAAAGCTGCCACATTGAAATACTGGAGCTTTTTAGACGCATTCTTAGCTTCAAACCTTTTAAAAAGTATACTGTCGCTGCAGATTTTTTTGTATGAATTGCAGAGTGGTCATGACAAAAGAGCAAAATTGCTGTATCTCTGAAGCAGCTATTGATAAACCGATCTATTCTTTAAGGATAGTTTTTTTTTTTTTTTTTTTTGTATTGAAATGTCACATTCTGGCATATCCAAATGTCAACTCCCAAGGTTGCCTCGCCATCTGCCTAGCCTTAACGCTGCTTTTGAAATAATAGCAAAAAATTTTTTTAAATGGCTGATATTGAAATGAAATTGTGCTGCAGAGGTAAATCAAAGTATTAAAAACCCGGGTGTACAGAGGATGCCAAAAGGTTGCTCTGCGAGAAACGCTGCAAATGAACTGCCTTTCATTCACTTCATATGTCTTTGAGAAAATAGTTATTGATGTTTTTCGGCCTTGCAAAAGACGAAATGTGACTGGCATTTGTAGAGGAGATGTAAAGGGCATTATAATATGATGGATGGGCCGGGGCGAGATATAGCTGCAGATGCTGATAAGATAGCAGAACAGCAAAGCAGAGTCTCTAAATTTTCTCAGATCAAACATGTGACTGGACAAGGCTGTGACAGGTGTCTCTGACAGGCCTGCACTTCCCGTCCTCATTGTCACCTATCAGCAGCGCTATCTGATTAAAACTGGCCATCCACAGTCTCTCGTAGCTGTAGGTACAAGCCCTGGATCTCTTTCCCCCGAATCGCCCGATCACACGTGCATGCAAGCCGACACACACACACACACAAACACACATGATAGCTGAGAGGGACAGCAGTGGGGGCATACAGTACCTTGCGTGTTGACTGGGTTGGTGGTGGGTGTGGGGATAGTAGTGGGAGCATCTAGATGAAAAGAGTCAAAAAAATAAAGAACATGTATAAGAAATAAAGGAAGACAAGAATAAAGAAAGAGACAAAAGTCATTGAAGATGAGAAGCTGCACTACAAAAATCATAACATGCACATGTTAAAGCCGCTGCGTGAGTTACCGTGAGCCCATGCTTGCAGCTGTGAGGCTTAAATATCGACCTTAAAACAAAACTGAGGCGCATAAGCGAACATTGGGAAAGAATTTGTTTGCTGTGATCATTCCTGGTCATAAAAAAAAAGGTGACGAGGGTCAATAAATGAAGAAAAACTGTCTCCAAATCAGTGTAAGAGATGTGGGACAAAACCCACCGTCCCTATTTTTTTGGAGGGGAAAAAAAAAGTCAAACTTTAGCCGTAGCTCAAGTGAGTATCTTTTTAGCAGGAACTCTTTTTGTACTAATCATCCACTGCAGCTCAGCACAGAAACACAAAATAACAGAGGGAATATGGTTCTGGAAAGAAGTTACCAATTTAATTTGATTAGGTCAGACCACTGACGATACATTTTGGAAGCCTTTTTTTTTTAACACTTAATCAGGACTGTGGGTTTTGTGTGCCATTTCTTCCACTGGAAACATCTCTTTCATGAATATTTTTAACAGCCAACATGAACAGGAACACAGCAAACCATGTTTTAATGTTCATCTGAGACTGTTGTTTTAAGATAAAATAAGAACCTGTTTACAGCTCACATCAGCATGTTAACATGTTTAAAGTGATGTCCACATGCTTAACATGTTTGACATCTGATTTTAGCTAGTTAGCGTGCCGAATTTAACTAAAAACCAAAAGTTTCAATGCCACGGCTGCACTGCAGTTGATGAATTACCAAAGCATTTAACATCCATCATCTGAAGTTTGTGGATGTCTGGACTCAATTTTGTGTCAATCCATCAGTTAAAGTTGAGATATTGAAGTGAAAACCTGGAGGCTGTCTATGAAAAGTCAGAGGATCAGAAGAGTCATTAGGATTCATCTTCTGGTGACCATGAATGTGTATCAAATAGCTGCTGGCTCATTTCGCTGAGAACAAAACCTCATGATGGCGCTACAGGACAACTCAAGGAATCACCAAGGTATTTCCAAAGCATCATCTGGGAATCTTGAATGTTTGTAGCAAATTTCATGGTAATCCATCCAGTAATTGTTCTGATATTCCAGTCTAGACCAAAGCGACAGCAAAGCAGCACATCAACCCTTTCATACCTAAAGCCCATGCAGCTATCATGGCTAAAAAACACAAAGAAAAAGACAGCAACATTTCACTGTTCTGGGGGTGTATTATATTTAATTACGGCCAGCTATTGTATCTCTTTTTTTGATAAATTTTCTAATTAACTATGAATAATAATGTGAATGGAAATCACGGAAAGGTATTGCTATTTTCCACGGTCTCAATAATTAAGTCAGACTGCAAATTAAACCACTCTGGTGGTCTCCCGCTGCAGCGTGGTGCGGCCCCCGAGCAGCATCCTCCTGCCCCACACTGTACTGATTAGGCCTGTCACTAACCCCCCAAACAAAATAATCAGAAAGACAAAATGGAGGGCAATTCAGGTATGCAATGGTACTAAGGAGAGCTGAAAGCTTCCCTCATCAGGGGAATATATGCCAGGCGCTGGTGCAGGGGGAAGATAGCACGACCCCTTGCTGTGGGAGAGTCGCAGCAGGGGAAATTGGCTGGCTGTCTCCATGCCTTTACTGTCTGCACTCCATCAAAAGACAGCAGTGGGGGACCACACACTCCCAAACTAATGATAAAACATCAAGGACAGCATAATGTTGCCGCCGGGGATGGAGTGTATGGCAGAGGTGGTGTTGATGGTGGTAGGGGGGATCAGGGTATCAGGAAGAGATTCTCCACTGACAGTATTTGAAGAGAGGGGTGGGCTAGATTTCTTTCCCTGTGACCGAAGGCGGTATGATAGCTGAAATGTCAGTGTCTGGAAGAGGGAAATTGGCCATTCAGGGATGAGGGTCTTCACAAAGGCCGGGATAGGATGTGGCACATATAATATCCAGACGAACAAGAATTCTCCATGGGCAATTTCCAGGCTGGATGACTCTGGGCTCAGCATTATGAGGGCTGAAATATGAGTGTATTTTGGAGGGGCCATATTTTCAGGGAGCATTTGTATCAGTGAGGAATTTGATATGAGAAAATTTAACCATAAAGTGAAACAATGTAGGAGAAATTGTTTATCTATGCCTGCTTAAACCTGCCTGCCAACACAACAGCAGGGAAGATATTTTGCTTGTTTTTTTTTTAGCGTATTTATTTCTCTTGCTTAAAAGTTCTTTTTGCATAAAGTTTTTTTTTCCATAAACAAAGGCTGTAAAAGAGGCTATTATAATTCATGTAATGATATTGTGAAAAAAAAAAAAAAGAATAATCTACAAGCTGAAGTGTCGAAAATGGCTCCACACTGTGTTGCATGTTTGATAAAATCAGTGTGATTCACAAGGACGCAGCTTCCTGACAGCCTTTCATAAGAACAGCGAGGCCCATGAGTCCTGTCTGCTCGTGTTATGTCAAAACCCTGATAAACCCCAAATTTTCCCGTGGCTTGTGAATCTTTTGACTTTTTGTCCCCCCGGAAGATTGATAGGTCAAAAAGTCAACTGTGGTGGTAAAAGGGAGTGTTGTTGTCCTGCCAACAGGCCGTATGTGTGAGTTATAACGCCGGGTCGCCTCCGAGAGAGAGAGGAAGGCCTCGTCTTTGGCCGACACTCTCCCCCACAACACCACCACCAGCCAGGGGGCACAATTCACAGCCTGTTGCAGACACACCCAGCATGACAAGCCTCTTTCTCAGCCTTTCAACCGGCCACATACAATACGGTCGCCACAATAGGACTTGATTTGACGTGGATTTACATCGGCCTCACACCTGTCTGGGCTGTCGCACAGTGAAAGGTCATTAGTCTTTTTGAAATAGGAAGAGCCCGAAGGACCAGCACCGGTAGAGAGTGGCGGCGGGATGAAAAGAGAATTGATGGACAATTCCGCCTGGCTCTATCAATAATTCTCACAAGCAAATATTTATCAAGAACAAAACAACTCATTAAAATGAAACTATTTGTTGCCTGCTCTTAGTTAAACAAAAGGCTTCCTTTGACAGGTGTGTGGTGGCTTTAACAGGAGCTCATAAATTGCAAAACAAAACAGCAAAAAGAAGAGGAAAAAAAAAAATGCCAGATAAGAGAGTAGGGGGGAAGAAAAAATGGTAATTTTGTAGAAAAATGTGAGAGTAAAGTTAGCAGGCTGGATAAGAGGGGCGCACCGGTGGACAGCTGAGGTTGTGCGCTGCTGCTGAAACGCTACACAAAAATAGCACAAGGTTATCACCGCTATAAGACTGATGTTTGTTGGCAGAAACACACAAATTAAGCTACTGTTGCAAAAACGATTACCGCAGGACAACAAACCCCCGCGTGGACCACAACGCGATTTTGTCTGGCATTAAATCCTCCAGAAAAAGAGGAAGGGGGAGTCACAGGCATAATGATATGCAGTTTGAGCACCTTTTACCAATCTCCTGTGTCTCATTACAGAGAGCTGAAGTCATGGAGCTTCCAAGGCTCGCACACTGGAGAAATAGTGCTTAATGGAAATTGGTAAAATATGTGGATCAAGTTGCTAATTGAAGAAGTCATGGCCAAAGGCACATGCATTGATAATATAGATAGTGTAGGTTTCATTTTGGACCAGAGAACATTCGCTTCCCATTGCATTCAATCATTCATGCAAGTGTACAGCACGAATCAAATGGTACATGAATTTAACAGCAGTAGACACACATCATGCACGAGTTCTTAAATGCCTGCAGGCAATTCAGGGAAAATTTCTGAACTATTAGAATATTATATTACTACTTTAAAGGTCTGTGTAGGGGAATTAAAAAAAAGTGGTTTTCCTACTTGTTCGGAATCTGAGAGGATTTACTCAAAGAGGGAGGACGGTAAATCTTAGTTTCAGAGGAATCTTTACACACCAATTAGAAATTTAGTCATGATAGCTTGAATAAGTCTGCCTTGAGTGAGCTATTTGCCGGCATATGCTGTCCTTTTGTTTGGGAGTGATCATTATGGGCCCATTGGGAACAAGCAGATGTCATCATCTGCCTGGCAGAGCATGATGATAAATAACCATGGGGCGGCAGAGTTATGAGAGTCACAGGAAACCTATGTCACAGTGACAAAGTCACACATGTCAGCTGGTGAAAGAAACACATTATTCCTCTGAACATCAACCAACCTAAAGAACCGCTGAACGCCAGACGTATGATGATGAGAAAATCTGTGTATGTTCCATTAACCGCACCCTGGGAGTTATTTTTTTAGTCGTGCAACTGAAAATATTTCAATGACAAACTGGAATACCAGTGCTTCTCTGAATGCTTTGTACCTCAGAGATTTGGATTAGTGAGGTCCTGCTGTGATCGAAGCCCAGTTTATAAGGCATTCTTAAAACCCCACATGGTTATTCTTCCTGTAAATTCAAGTAAACCATTCGGGAGGCAGTTATTTCACAAGTTTTTAAAGTTTCCAGGTGTAGAAATTCAGTCCCAGGTTCCTCTTACAAACTGGAAAAAAAAAAATGCACTGGCCCCACGTTTCCAACATCCCTGTTTTTCTTCTTTAATTCGTCCTGACTCTGACAGGTTTTTTGCCGCCTCTGCCCAAGACCTTGTCCTTCCATTAAAATCCTATTCACTACTTGGCCCACAATTGGTGAAATGGTGTTGACGTGAAAACCATTACAAATGCATTTATTTTCGCAAATGCACATTTTCAGCAACTGCCATAAATATTTGCTCATCAGCCCGACCCAAAAAAAGAAAAAATAATAAAATTGTTACATTGCTAGTTTTTGACACACAGTTCATGGCTGTCAACATGACCTAAACAAGCAGACTGAGTAATAATCAAAACAATATCACCAGTCTGAAACCTGCAATCAGGTCTTGCACAAAATCCACAAAAAAAAAAAGCCCATTTTCGCATAACACTTGGAGCCTCGGCGCTTCTCATCTGATGCCGCTGCTTTGGGCACGTTAGGTTCAAATGTGAGTGATGGTTTCAGAGGATAAATCTGACATCAACATGATGAATCAGATATAATGACATGCTGCGTACTATAGCATAAACCACCATGGATGTTTTAAACAGAGCTGTCCTGTCTCTTTCTAGAATTTATCTGGAGAGATCAGACCGCTTCATTTAAATATTTAGCCGCTGCTGTTGTTCTGCAATCAGTGTGACTCCTCATACCACAGAAGTGAGATTTTACGATAAGAAAAAGCTCACTGGAGAACATTATGGGTGTGAAACTCAAAATCAAGCCTCAGAAACTGGATGTCAAACATATATAGAAATAATTAGGGTAATATTCAAGATGAAAGATGTAGAAATTTTTTGCTCACAATTTATTTTTTGTACATTTTTGATGCCAATAGGAAAAGTATTGTGAACAGAAGTGCAAAGTGCTGAGGTGCAATAATTTATTATATCTCAAAGTTTCCCTCCAGTCACATGTAAAGTAAAGCTTGATTGATCGAGTGATCGGGTCATTGTTAATTAACTTTTACCAATTTACCATAAAGACACTGCGTGACTCCACAACACAGTCTGCTCAGCTGTGATATGCACTCTGCTGTATGCGCTGCAGACAGAGCTGATAGTGAACAATAGAGTCTGAGGATCTCTGCTGGACAAACTATGTGATTTGTGAAACTATGCATCAAAGCATCAATTTCTGTATGATGTTCTGTCAAAGAAAGTTTTCATATCGATATATATATACAACTGCTATAAAACATCCAATATCAATATATGTGTGATAGGCCCATATCTACCCATAATATCAGCCAAATGATATGTTGGTCATGTTGAGATTAATTGGTGATTCTAAATTGTCTGTAGGTGTGAATGTGAGTGTGCTTGGTTGTCTGTCTCTAAGTGTAGCCCTGTGATGGACTGGTGACCTGTCCAGGGTGTCCCCTGCCTTCACCCTGAGTCAGCTGGGATAGACTCCAGCCCCCCGTGACCCTAGTGAGGATTAAGCGATGTATAGATAATGGATGGATGGATGGATGGATGGATGTGATAATACAGAGATATTAAATGAGTATTAGTAGTTTCAAAACTGTAACTGTAAACCCTCAGTGAAAAGGCTCTTGTTAGTGTACATCCATTGAACTCTTTACGTTTCTGGTCACTTTCACTTGTGTATTATTTGCCTATTGCACCAGAATTTATAAGAACGAGTTGCAATGCAACCATAACCTGCCCGTATGTAGACATCTGAAACTCTGATTTAAGGTGAACTCTGAGAGACTTCAGCAAATGAGTGTGAAAACATCCTTCTACTGTCATTTTGCACAGTGAGGCCCAAGTGAAGTGACAAAAAAGGGAGCGAAACACATTTTCGACTGAAGGAGACTTTTAAGTTCTGAGCCTCAGTTCCTGCATCTTGGATTTGCCGTGACTCCAGTGACAGGTATGTCTAAATCTAAATATAAATAGGGACAAGCAAACTCTAATCTTACAATCAAGAAATATTACTATTCCAAACAGTGATATTTGTTTAACACAAAGCCTTACAAGCACTAGAGTAAGAAGTAAAAAATAAAAATCCATTTTAATATGTACACTGGGGATCCAGAAATACATTTTTGCACATATTGCTTGAGAGCCTAAACATCAGATTCACCCTCATTCCTGGTTGCGGGTCTGGTCACTGGCAGACAATGTTTTTGGCACACAGGCAGAAACAAATTGAAACTTGGGAGTGAAATACAAAATGCTTTTCTAAACAGCAGGGAGCAAGCACTCCAAGGAGAGAAAGCTAAACTCACCAACAATGGCTGCACCTGCTGAAAATTTATTTTGCCCTCATCCCCATCCGCTGTGCCAGCCACCAAAAATAGGAAATTAAGGTCCGAGGAGAGTGTGCTTCACTGACGTCACGTTACAAGATTTCTAAATGATGAAGTCCTTGGAGCTTTAAAAACTTCAAACAGTTACCTCCTGCTGTGCCCCCTTAGGGATTCAAGTGCAAAGATGCCTGGTGCCTTTAAACAGTTGTTTGGGGAGGAAAAAAACTTTTTCAGATTGAATCCAAGTGAATTCACCGGCAATAGCAATAGCTGTGTTAGTCATAAATGTAATGCATTTTGGCTTTATTTTGTAGTTGTTGTGGATTGTGATGTGTTAAAGAGAGCACAAAGAAGCAGCAATTAGTGTGAAATGGCTGACAGTCATGTTAAGGTAAAAAGAAAATGCGGCCTCTATGAAGAGAGGTTAACCAAGAGCAGCAAACTGTCTGTGGCATTTAAAGTCAAGTCCTGGGAGAGATGGTCCCTCTATTGCCCTTTACTGGTTGGCTGCAGGACACATTGAAATTCCACCCACTTCGATGAAAGTCAACAGCTCCAAAGCCAATTGATCATAAAAAAAAGCAAGTCGAATAGTAATAGCCAATACAGTCCACGATTTTATGATGATTTAGGGTAATTTCGCTCTTAGGAATATACTGTATGTGCATGAACTTCATGATGTGAAGGGTGGCAATGCATGTCTGCATAATCTTAGCGAATGGTGTAAAGTGCACGGGGCACAACACACAAAGAAAGAAAGGATGTGATAATGGTTTAAAAGCGGGTATATACAAAAAATAAAAATAAAAATCCATTTGGAGTGGAGCGGTCACAAAGTGTAAGAAGTGCAAAGTTGCAGTTTGAAGTGTGATAGTTTAATATGGTGCAAATCAAGGTGGCATCACTAGAATCATGTCTATTCCCAGACACGGTGCAGCCATAAACAAGTGATGGTCAAAGTGATTTAAAGGAAAATATTTAATATATAATGCAACAATCAGCACATAAGAAAGAAAAAATGCTGCATTCATATCTAGGGAGACTTGTGAAGGAGCTGTGAACTCCAATAAGCTGCCTTGAAAAATGAATAAATATCAGAAAAATGAACTGGGAATGTGGCATTAGATGAAAAGACCTCATCTCTGCTGAGAACTTAAAGCTACATTAGCAGGTACTACAATAAGACAGATAATGAGTGAGACAGCGTTTTATGAGTGTAATGCTGAATCAGTGGAGTGTTCTCTTAAAAGTACCTACATATGGGCAAAACTTCAAAATGAAAAAGCAAGCTCCACAGAACGGAAGAGGCAGCAGGTAACGAGTAGAATAAACCATATTTCTGAGTTGAAAACTGGTGAATTCGGGGAAAACATTCACGATAAGTACGTCCAACGTGACATGTACACGTAGCCAGGCTCTGGGCTTCTTCACTGACCGCAGCATATGGAGACGCAGGCTGTTTTTCCATCTGATTCATTTTTCTACTTTTCTCTCTTGCTTCAAAAACATAAATCTGCCATATAAAATCTGACTTGCTGGGTTTTGTAAAATGCCAGTCCGAAGTCAACAGCAACTTTATTCATTACTTTGCACAGCGGCAGCGCAGATCTTCGGCATAAATACGAAGCTTTGTGGATTTGTCAACAGCAGCCACCTTCTGTGATTTTAAACCCCTCCGATAATGGCTTACATCTATATACATTTGAAAAAAAGCGTTTCTGTTCTGTCCTTATCATTCCAATACAATGTCCTAACCACCCACTGCAGGCTGTCTATGTAAGCAATATATAGAGGTGATGTGAAAGGGTGATGGAGGACTCCAACCTAACATCAAGTGCAATGAAGCGTAATACCTACCATATACATAGAGGATGTAGTCGTCGTAGGCCTCCCCCACTGCATTAGATGCCACGCAGCGATAGGTGCCGTTGTAGGACTTGTTGAGGTTCTCGATGTAGAGATCAGAGCCGGTGACCACGGCGTGAGGCGGCACATCCTCTTCTACTCTCAGCCAGTTGATCTGATGGGGACTGGAGAGCACAAATACCACACACATCACTCAGGCGCTGTCTATCCACGCTAGAAATCTGAAATAAAGGTCAAATCTGAGATCGTCCGAGGAGGGCCATTGGCAGGCCCTGTCTAATGATGTACTTTATACAGCATGCTAACAACTGGTAACATTTAAATGGTACAATGAAATGCAAAGGTTAAGAGGGTGTTTGGACTGGCAGGAAAAAAAAAAAAAGTGGGGGGATATACAGTGGAAAATATGAAACCAAACAGAAATGTCAAGTGTTGAAGTGCATCCATCTGCGCGAGTACTCACTGTGGTTTTCCTTCGGCGATACATGTCAAATCCAGATTGTCACCTTCTCTGGTTAAACCTTCAGGATATGTCACCACGATCTTCACTTCGGGTTTATCTGGAAATAAAAGAGATGAGAGTATTTACAATATCGTACTGTGGGGTTGTAAGTTTAAACATGACAGCCGTTTTTTTTTTTTTTAACCTGCAGCCATAGTGAAAGTTAAATCATTATTACGCTCTAAAGTGAAGCGCCGAAAGAAACAGTCCTCCAAATGAAAGAAAAACAGCCACGAGTGAAACATAGAGGAAGATGAAATGATCATCCTATGTGCTCGGCATCATCCAGTCGGCCCGCAGTACCTTACAGCGGAATGATTTTTTTTTTCTCTCTCTCTCTCTCTCTCTTATCAATGCTAGCCAAAGATTACCAAAATGTCAAGCGGTTCCAGTCAAGCTTTCTCTTTTTCCTTGAAAGGTCAAACAAAACAGTTATCTACCTGAAAAAAATTAATATTCTACACAGACTACAAAAGGATACCTTAACCTTTCTTTGATGTTTAACAGTGTAAGCGAGCTTGATTCAGCTCTTCAATCAATGCACTGTTAAAAAGAACACCTAAACATTATTTGACACCTGAGCACAATGTTCTGTCTTTTTTTTTTTTTTTTGTTTCCCCTGATGGTGACTGTATCCCCACGGGTTCAAGGCACTGCTGAGGTTTAAATGCCAGCTGCATGATCTATAGATAAGGTTGTGGAAAAAAACATACAGTACATCTATGATCCGATGGTCAGGAGATAAGCTACCTAAGACACATTTCACCATCCTAAAGAGCAGCCCTGCTTGGTTGGTAATCCGACTTGCGCACAACCTGGGCAGCAGTCATGTATTGTCATCCTATAATTTACAGCTTAGTACAAGTGCAGCAAACTACACCTGACCACACCCAAGTATAAAGTTGGGTTTAGGAGAGATTTTAGGCCACAGAAGTCAGTGGAGCAATGCTTCAAAATCTCGGGTATATTTCTTATAAATGCAGCTGTTGCGACTCTGTGGTTAATGCTAACTTTGCAGTCGCCAACTCCATTGTAGAGTTGAAGAAAGAAGGTAGATCCTACTGCATTTAACCACGATGGCCCTTCCAGATGGCTGCTTTCTGCATTTATTTTCAGTCAAACTTAGAGACAAAGAGTTTAACATAATTTAATCACAACCCCTTGAGGCTAGGATGATATTTGCTCAAAGATCTACAGAGAAGCTCCACTTATTTGTTGCGCACGATACACACAATCACCTAGATTGGTGCATTAACTCCTTCCACCCTTGCTGTATCAAATGCAACCATTTTTGAAGGTTATTAAGTGTAGAACATTCAGGACACACGCAGATGGAAAGCATTTATCGAGTTTCTTTTCTGTTGCTTTCAGTTCGGTAGCGTCGACTCAGTGTTACGAGGCTGATATTTACTCTCAAATCTACAGTTCTGCTTAGGTCAAGGTAGAACCGTGAATTTTTGCTGGAGTTTTCACAACCTCATTTCCAATAGGGAGACATCTTTTATTTCAAAATTCTCACCAATGTCTCTTATTCTTCGAGCCCAAGGTAGCTCATTTTGACCTTACAGCTGAGGAACGGTACTGAGTGAATTTGGGGATGTTTTTCTGGTTGGAAATATATATTTTTAAAAGCGTAGGTCTTAAAGGGGTTAATTTAACACAAGCGATTTTCATTGTGCGCAAAAAAAAAAATGTAATGTGCAAGTCTCAGTTCCACATGTCTCCCTATGGGTTTGGAAAATCAATAAAGCCTAATTCTGTTCTTCGTCGTCAATGTCGACACAGTAGTTAAGACTCTGGAGTATGTTTTGACTCTCTTCAAGTGGCATAAATGCATACCTGGTGACTTTCAAAGGAGTCTGTCAGTGGTCTCTGTGTGGCGTCTGTGTTGCTTGTTTGTCTGTGTACTTTCTTTGTTATTCTGCCTGTAAATTTTAAAGAATTTCTGTTGGCTTAATATTGTGTAATTGTGTTCATTAGTGGGTGGTCCCTTGTATAATCTGAAAGGTAGTAATGGGATTTATTATACCAAAACCACAGCCCCCCTACTAAGTAAAAGCCCCCCGAATTGCACAAGCATGAGATAGCCTCACTGTATGGGGCTTTGGTTTAGTTCGGGGATTGAAAACGTACAGTTCTGGGTCACTCACACAGCACTTCCAAGTGTCTTTGAGCCAGGAGGTCCTTTACAGCCGGGTGGTCAATGATGCAGTCCACTGACACTCCATCATCCTCTTTGGTGACAGAAAATCTCACCCGACTGCTGACAGCAAACAACCTCTCATCGATCTCTTCAACCGTTGTCTCACCTAGAAAAACCATCACAAGCACGACAGGAAAAACAGTTAATGCCTAAACAGCTCCAAAACAAAACCTCAAATCCTGCACTGCACCAACCGCGGCGGCTATAATGAGGCAAACAGCCATCGCCATTAAGAGCACATAACCTGTCAAAGCGGGGTACTTTCAGATGGCATTTACATTTAATTTATGATTCGATGGTGTGGCGTCCGGACAAGACTTTAGAGGACTCAGACGGGCCCAAGGCCTTGGATTCTGACGAGAACTGCGAGGAGCGCCTGGGTCATATCAAGCCCCCGATAATGAATGCTTCTGCTGCTTGAGGGTTGAGCATTGTTGGGGCTAACCCTGCAGTAATCTGCTGCCCACTAGGCCCTAGGCTGTCAGAGGGGCATTCATTTAGAGAGCATTACAATGCCACAGGGGCATCGCATTAGCCGCAGTGCTGAGTGTGATGGTTTACTCGCACTTAATGAAGTGAGGAAATAATTACAGCCCCACACTGACCTGCAGCACACTTCCATTTCAGCCTTGTCACAGGGGAGCCCGGCTGGACTCTGGGAGGGCAAAACACTGTTGTTCCACAGTTGATGATCACCAACACACACATATGTGGCCTCTTGATGGATATTAACCCCATGCAACATACACCCACTCACCCAAGACCTGCCTACATAAAATTTAAAGTACTGGGATCAGTAAGTGGTCAGTGCACTTGTGGGCATTAAATTTGACCATTCGGCCAACTGTGGTGAGAGAACAGGCTGTTTGAAAAGCACACTGGCCATGTGAGAAGGGTAAGTGAGTAATAACAGTAGCAGTAATAATAATAATAACAGCAGGGATAAAAAAGTGTGACACTGTGAAGAGACTGCATAAAAAAAAATAAATGGCTTTCATTTCAGAAACTGTGATTATCTCGCTGTTTTGTCCAAAATGACTGAAGGTATTATAGGATGTAGAATGCAAACTGTTTTGTAGCTATAAAAGCACGTATCTGATGTTGTTCATTTTTCGCCATTAACTGTAGAAACATCAAAATTCAAGCCAAAACACTTTTAGTGGGAGTCCTGTAAACATCAGTAACTTCGTCCTTGCCAACAGAAACCTCACAATAAGAGCTGTGTTGTCACCATGCAATCACAAGACCACGGCGCAGCGCATTAGATCACATTTGTAAGGTCAATGAGGGCATTTCCAAGTACACCTGCCAGAAGCAGCGCCCTGTGAGCCAAAGAGTTGGATGGAGTGGAGTGTGAATTGGAGGGATGTGGCGATTAGTCATAATTCTCTCGGCCAGTCACACTAATTGCCTCATAACAATCACAGCGCTGCATTTGGACCGCGCAACACCAACGATCGTCTAAGTGTACGGCACGTCGCACTGTATGCATCTAACAAAATCCTTGTTCTCCATCTCTTTTCGACTGCGTGATACACATTTCAGGCATTGTGTAGTGAATGAATGGAAAATCTATGATGTTCATATTTATATTAGCCACACCTTGCTAGTACCAAATTCAACCCCCTTTCACCTTCAAAACTACCTGAATTCTTCGTTTTTTTAGAGATTCTGGTACATCATGTTGACATGACAGCATCATTCAGTTGCTGCAGATTTGTGAACAGCGTCTTCCTGATACGAGACCTGGTGAGTGTGGAACCCATTTCATGTCAGAGATGATGTGAGCTTTGTGACATGGTGCCTTCTCCTGGTGAAAGTAGCCATTAGAAGATGATGATAATGGGATGGACGCGGCCAGCTACTGGTCAGTACTCAGACTGTGACATTTAAATGATGCCACTAAGGGGTCCAAGCTGTACCAAGAAAAATATCCCCAACACCATTACACCACCAGCAGCCTGAAATGTTGATACAAGGCAAGATGGGTCCATGCTTTCATGCTGTTTAGGGCAAATTCCAACCCTATATCTGAAATTTGCAGCATAAATCGAGACTCATCAGACCAGGAAACATTTTTCCAAACTTTCATTGTTAAAAATTTGGTGAGTCTCTGTTTCCCTGTCGACAGAATTAGCATCTGATGTGCTCTTCTACTGCTATAACCCATCGGCTTCAAGGTTTGGTGTGTTGTGCGTCCTGAGATGCTTTTCTGCATACCTTGGTTGTAACATGTACTTCTTTTGCCTTTAGCTCAGCCATTGTTCTCTGACATCTGGCATTTCCAAGGTATTTCTGCTCACAGAAGCGCTGCTCACTGGATGTTTTTTTTTTCTTTTTCAAACCATCCTATTTTCCCTTTTTTTAAAATAATCAGAGCGCTTCCATTAACCATGTCCCATTCTGATGCTTCAGTAGTTCCTCTTGAGCATGTTTACATACTTAAATGCATTAAGTTCCACTTGATGTGACTAGTTAGTGTTTTAAATATTGGCAAGTCTATCACATAATCACACATAACAGGCCTTTCACACATTTTCATTTATTGCGAAGCAGGAAGTTTTTATTCACAGCTCGCTCAGAATCACTCATTTGGACAACATAAATCTGCAGCGATAGCATCATATTTTTATATTTTCTATTCTGGTTCTATTGACCTGCAGCGACAACCAAGTGCTTCGACCAACTTTGCTGGAAGTGTGTCTTGCTCGCTGCATCGCTGTGCACCCACATACACAGCGAGGGCAGAGGAGGCACTTATGTGACTTCCAAAAGTTTGTTTGTGGAGGTATTGAAAGTCCAATCATGTCCTCTGTACTTAATGTAATGTACAGTTACAGACTGTTTTTGTAGTATGAAGCAAGTAGAAATTAAGAAAAAACACATCTGATTTTGATTTAATTAGATTTGGTTATGCTTCATGTGCCATGTCATGACCTTACTCCCCCCAGTGGCAGGTTTGTGGACGGCTCTACTGCGAACTTTCCGAAAGAAAAAAGAAAAAAGAAAAAAAAAAACGAGCTGACTGTATACAATTTCAAAGAGACAGTTTCCAGCAAATTAGCACCATCCTGTCTTGTAGTGTCTCATCTACAAGAAAGTCCCATGATGTCGCGTCTCTAATTCGACCTCTGCGCTGTGCAAAATACCGAAGGGACAAGCAAAACACAATTCAAGGTCAGGAAAATAGCACAGCTTGCACTTGTCTCTGCATTGTTGGAGGGGGGCAAGAAAGAGTCTTTAATTTGACTTCTAGTATCAATTATTTTTGGTCGCCGTGCTTCTTGCTGAATTGTTTTATTACGAGAAACGACTGAGAAAACTTCTGAGAAGTTCTGAGTCACGTTTTGAAGATCAGACTCATAAAGACGGAGCCATTACCGATGTACAGGCCAGCCGACGCTTGTCAATTATCAGTGTCATCCAGGCCCAGATGAGGAAAACAACTGTGGATCAGGTCAAGGAAGGACTCGAATCTGAATGCAGAGGAGATTTGAGAGTTGCAGCAGAGATGTCAAATCAAACGCTCTTGTGAGCATCGAGCACTGATCAATCCCAGTGCAATCAAGCATAGCCTCTTCTCAGGGTGACATTTTCTTTCAGTCAGTTTCTAACCCGAGTCTTCTGCCTGCCAACACACTGCCGAGCCGCCGATGATCAAACTGTTTCGACACGGCTTAGACAGTAAACTGCTGGAGCTCTGGTATTACCGCGAGTAAAGCAGGCTCAAATGAAGATAATACACATCTTATACTCGCTCCACCCACAATATTTTTCCCATTAGACCAAAGGTTTGCAAACTGTGAGATGAATTGTTGAGAATCGCTTTGTGGCCCGCAAGGAGGGATGTGAGAAAAAGACAGTGTGTGTGAAATGAAAGGGAAAGTTGGTTGCTGTCGTGGCCTCTGATTTGGCCTGTTTACCAGCGTGGTGAGCAGTTGGGAGCTGCTGTGACACGAGGCTCTTAGAGGTGATTAAAGTGCTCCTCAATTGCCGCAATTTGTCAAAATTGGTACTCCATCTCGGAGACGTGACACATATTTTAGGATTCAGTGTGACTTATACTATCCAAGGCTATCATTAACTCCAATGTCATTGTGAATAAACATCCATAAATCTGCTTAGAAAACATTAAAAAAAAACGGCGCTTCTTGTTACCAGTGTATCAAAATACGCTTGTGATTTTCACATCCTTGAGAATATTGTAATGAAGGAGGAGATAATAGTTAATTTGGCCTACGTTTGATGAAATCAATCTGCTAAAAGGTAAATACAAATAAGCTAAAAAAAAGTTCAAGATGTCGTCAACTGACTCTATTTTGCTTTCTGCTCATTTCACACAAAGCTCCCGACACTTAGAGGATAAAAAAATCAAAGTAAGACAAAGAATAATAATGAAAGTCACAAAGCCATGAGAGGGCAAAATTGTTAACATATCAATTATAAACCAATAATAATAATAATGATAATAATAATAATAATAAAATCTTGGTTATAAGACAAAACTTTCTGCAACCTGAAAGTTAATATTATTGGCTTTTAATCAGTGTATATTATTTAACTAATTACTTTAGATATCAACAGGGCCATTTATTACAGATTTACTAAAAACCGGAAAATACTGACTTGAATTCACAGATTTACTTACAGGTTATTAAGCCTTATAATGTGATAAGACGATCTAATATTAACTGTCAATTACTTGATTTTTATTTATTTATTAAACTGTATCCTCTTCAGGGGATGGAATTTCAGTGAAACCTTGAGATTGGAATATGTATTTGTGAGGGCATTTTTTTTTTTGTATCACTTACTCATGTAATTGCTCAGTTTATCATCTATAAACCCGCAACCCAAGTGAGGATTAAGCGGTATATAGATAATGTATAGGTGAATGGATTGATCATTTACTGATGTAATACTCATGTAATCTGTTTCTTTTTTTATGATCTATTTAGGACATCAACTGCTCATGCGATGTTGGACACGTATTTTTTTTCCCAGCTACCCTTGTGCAGGTGTCTCTATGATGCACAGATGATGTCTTTATCTCACTGACGTGTGCATTAACCACTCGCCTGTTCTGACACTTCAAAGACAAGAATCTGAACAAAGGCATGAATTGTGTGCGCATAAGCTAATAAAACCCACGCTATCATAAGACCTTGTGTCTGCAACAGAGGACACTGGTTATTGGGCAACAAACATCACAAACTTGACCTTATGGCTGTAAGATGAAATGTACATACAGGTTCTTCAGAGAATCAAAAAGTGGGTGAGTAGAATGTAATTATTTTCATCTAAAATGTATAAATGGGAAAAGAAAGGTCATTCTTCTGTTTGTGAGTATTTGTTCAAAATTGAAAAATTCCTTTTCAGTATTCACAAATATGATTTCTGAAGGTCCAGTAAAAAAACATGTTAACGCTACTTCAAATTAAAAATAAGACCAAATAAACTAAAAACATTTTTAAAAAATAAATGTAATCAGCAAAGAGAGTCCCAAAATGATTTTCACTGACTATTGATTGATGCCACGATCCGAAATCTCTTAAAGCGGAATTTGAAATTAGAGCTTTAATGCTTGAGCGGCAGTATTATTTTTTGTATTTGTAATTAGCTTTAAGTTTTAGGCAGTGCTGCACCAAATCAAAACTTAATATTTATAGTTAAAAAAAAATTTCTAATTTCTAAGATTCCTAACTTTGCAAAGCATGCAGCCTCACACGACCACATGCAGACTTTAAAAACACATAATTAAATGTAGCCGTGTGACGAAACAAATCTCCTCTTGTACTTCAGCAGCTGAGCACCGAGCTCCACTACATTTAAATAATATTGCAGCTGTCATTTATGCTAACAAGCATTTTGCCACCTTGTGCGCTGAGTCCCTTGCAGGCCGGAGCCCATCAGTCCCGTACCTGCCAGCATGATAAATGGTTGCAAAACCAATTCGCCCAATTTGATGGCGCGTTTAAATTAAGACAGCGAATTTCTTTTTTTGTCCATTACGACCGTCTTGCCTGCACGCGGACGTTAAGACAAACATGATCAGAGAGATTCTGTAAAACCGCTGTGACGTGTGCCTTTGAATCTCAATACGTGCAGGAGCTAATGAATTGTTTAGCACGTCCATAATGAGAAGTGATTTGTGTTTCCTGGGGTATAGGAGGACGTGACTTTCTGGCTCTCTTTATGTATCCACTGCCACTATGGATTAGCCCTGCTCAGCATGTCAGTGGCATTTCGCTGATCTAACCATCCTGTTGTCTCTCCCTCCCCTACACAACACTCGACAACTCATAAACAGAAATTGACTTCGACTCCTGTAGGGAACACTGGAGGCACAGATGGCATTTAGCTTCAGATTCGCTCTTGTCTAAATATTTCATCTCTCAACAAGCCAAATGAATCCTCTCCATTCTAATACATATATAATTTGACAACAAGCTCAGAGACATCCACTCTGAGTAAATACGATATGACTAAAATGAATATCCCCCTTGCTGTACAATAAGTATATAATGAATAATTGATGACCCCTAATCATAACTGAGAGGTAATAAGGATTTTTCACCACCCCAGATTATATACCTCTTTCTGCAACAGCCTGCAGCCAGCCAAAGGCGCTGAAATGAAGACAAAATGCGCTGATCCCAGTTCATAACCATGTTTACCATGTATAGATGGTTATATATACAAGAGATTTATAGTTTTAAAAGCACATCTTATCAGCAGTGGCGGTGTAACTAAATGTTCACGGTAAATATTTAAGCAATTTTAAATCCAAACATGCATCTGTGAAATGAAAGCCACAGAATGAAAGTGCCTTCGAGGCAAATGTTTGATGAGATTTATAAGAAACATAACATGAGCCGCCTGAATATGCAGCTCCTGCAGTTGTGAATGCACAGTTTGATCATTTTGTAATTTGATCGTTGAGTTTCATGTATTTTACAGGCCCATCTAGGGATGCAATTGCAAATTAGCTGTGGTATGCGGCAGTGGTTTGTGCTACATATGGCCCTTATACATTAAATAAAAATACATACTGTAACTGAGCCAGTAGCCCAGCGTTCAGGTCAGGGGAGGTTCACACACACATACAGAACACAAAAGAGGAAAAAAAAGAAAGAAAGAATGTACTCCTCTGTCTGTATATGCCAGGTAGGATTATCTTCCTATACGTGTCAGTCAACATAATCAGTACAACACGCATTAATGTTTCAGAGTAAAACTACATTTTGTTCGCAGAGGAAGCGCCTCCAGAGAGCAGGACTTGCAGAGAAGTGGACAGGCCTGGAGCATGTGAAGCAAACTGGGAGAGGCTGTTATTCTACCGACCTGTCAGTTCCTCCTCCCCTTTCATCCATCTGATGGAGGCGGCTGGCTTGCTGCCCATGGCTGTGCAGGTGAGCTCCGTCTCGTTCCCCTCGCTGACCACGTCCTCACGGCTCTCGATGATTGGGCTGCCTGGCGGGACTGACCCACAGCAATGGCAACGGTCAGGAAGACATGGCAATATTTGTACACACACACACACAAAATATGTTAACCTTTAAATAATAATGCTACAAATGCTGAAGCAGTCATTAATCGGAATTTATATGCCGCCAAGTTATGTACCACAGCTCATTTCAGAGCCGTTTTGCACTTTGATCCGCCTCTCTGAAATCAGAAAGGTACCTATTTATACTTACTCTCACTGACTTTACATCATTTGCAAGTTAGTCTTGTGACATGACTTCACCCAAAACAAACACAAATCAACCAGATAACCTGAGAAACCATCATCTTATGTGTAGAATAAAAGTAAAGCCTGCTCTTGGCTGTTGCTCCATTTTCTATCTTTCCGTTTGTCAACTGCTACCAAGATGCTGTTAAAGCATCTACAGCTACTTTGGTGAGAGAAAAAAAAACTACATGTAAATGCAATAAACAAGAACTTCTGGTTTATGCACCGACATCTACACGTTTGCATTTTACTACCAGTTTCATAAAAGGTGACTAATATTGCACTTTTGTGCTTTCAGAGAGACTGGGCTCCTGTATGAATGAATGCTCAATCTATGAAGCGAGATAATAAAAACTCACAACTGTGATGCATTGTGTTTGCTGAATGCTAATGCCAAACATGGGAACACGCTGACGTCAAACAACCACTTAACACCCTGCTTTGTCTTGAACACACCCTCGTCACAAATTCATATGCAACATCTAATATGTCCACAACTGCTGCACTCTCAATCTTTCCTGCAGCCCACACGGCTAACGGTTGTGTATGAGGATAGAGTGGGAGGGCGAACATGATGTTGCCCTGTGGGGTAGGTCATTGATTTTTCAGAGATTTTTTGGGGGAGTCTAAGAGAGAATCACTGAATCTTCTATAAGAAAAAAGAAAAATCTGTTGTGGGCTGCAAGGTGGCTCGGTGGTTAGCACCTCTGCCTCACAGCAGGAAGAGCCTGGTGAGGACACCCGGGATCTTTCTGCGTGGAGTTTGCATGTTCTCCCCGTGCAGCGTGGGTTCTCTCTGGGTTCTCCGGATTCCTCTCACAAGGTCCAAAAACATGTTGAGGTTAATTGGTGATTCTAAATTGTCCGTAGCTGTGAATGTGAGTGTGCTTGGTTGTCTGTCTCTAAGTGTAGCCCTGTGATAGACTGGTGACCTGTCCAGGGTGTCCCCTGCCTTCACCATGAGTCAGCTGGGATAGACTCCAGCCCCCCCGGGGACTCCAGGGAGGCTAGATAATGTATGGCTGGAACTTCTGTTGAAATAAATGTGACCACACTCAATTGATACTGCAATCAATTAAGTATACATTTCATTTACTATTTCAACCATTAGGTTACACTTTTTTTTTTGTTTTGTTTGGGCAGCTGTGGCTCAGGTGGTAGAGCGGTTGTCCTCTGATCGTAAGGTTGGCAGTTCGATCCCCGCCTCCTCCACAGTCGAAGTGTCCTTGGGCAAGACACTGAACCCGAAGTTGCTCCCAGTGGCAGGCTAACGCCTTGCATGGCAGCCACTGGTGTGTGAATGTGTGTGTGAATGTGTGAATGAGAAACATTGTAAAACGCTTTGAGTTAGAAAAGCGCTATTTAAGTGCAGACCATTTACCATTTACCATTCTGATCACTTACGAGAAACACAAACAAGTCGTTCGTACTTACACATGCAGCAGCTACGGTCACGATATGCCACCAGGTGAATGCAGGGCCAGTATCTCTCTCTGTTAGCTCTATTTTTGGCATCCATGGTTTCTATCAACTCCTGAGGGAAATATTTGTCTCTTTAGCTGCTACATGCTCCGCTATGTTCTCGACTTGTGTATACAGAAAGCGTCTCACATGCAATTTTCAGTTGTTCAGACCCGTCTGAAGGAACAGATAAGCTCCTGCAGGTGTGTATAAAGGCAGCGTGTTTTACTTGTGCCATTCGCCCGTAAACACAACCTAATTCTCCACGTCTGGCTGAAAATGACACACTATAAAAGCTGATGCGTGTGAGCCAAACTAAACAAAAAGCTCAAACTTGCTGTAAAGCCGAGGCGGGCAGCAGATACGGGTAAAGACTTAATCACTAGATCTCTTTCTTTCTGTCATTTGATAAATGGTTCGTGAAAAATATCATTTACAGCCACTTTAAGTTATTAAAGTTCATCCTACATTTCTGGGAAGTCCATCCAAAGGTTGTCTAGATGTTTCAATCAAAAACTATGAATGCCAACCTTATAATGGTGTGATAGAAAAATTCTAGGAATCCCCCAAAGTCTGTCGGCTCCAGATCACAAATATTTGCAGAAAATGTCACGGCAATCCATCAGTAATATCTCATGTTTGGACAAGTCATCATCTCTAATAGGTGAGCAAAAGGAATCCGTGATACATTCAATAATTCATGCATAAAATCATCAATTAGTTGTGCATAATTAAGCATTAGTTACCCAAAAATTTGATGCCCAGAAGTATACGTGATCACAACCTATGCTGACACGGGTGCAAAAGCAGGATAAGTCACGGTTCCCCCCCCCGACTCTCTTCCCCTTGTATTAGTCATCACAGCAAACTTGCTGAACTCCAGTTACTTGAAAGCAAAAAAGTCAGCAGGGTGCTTATTTCAAGGACTCTTCAATGCAACCCTTGGTTCAGAAATACTGCAGCTAGGTTTCAATTGTACAACTAGAGTAATTACTTTAAAGTGCTTTTAATTCCTTTCAATCCCCCAGGATGTCTGCATGTATAATAAAGCTTAACTAGAATAATTTCACTCCAAAGCATCAAAGTGTGGCACAGCTGACTCTCAATAGGGAATCGTTTGGAGCAGCCAAGTCAACATTCACCGGGATTCACAGAGTCAACACAGCTGCCAGAACCAATGCGGTCTGAGCCATCAGTTTCAGCATCTGCTCCTTTTCGTTATGCTGTTGAGCACCGCGAGAGCCTAATTGGCTGACATTTTGTTTCAGTTGCTAAAGATAACAGGATCAAAGATTACTATTATTTCACATTCACTATCTATAATGGAGCGAAATACAATAAAAGTGCATGCATGCGTGTGTGTGTGTGTGTGTGTGTGTGTGTGAGGTTCACACATGCGTCCTCACACCTACCCAGGACAGTGATGTCTGCGTAGGCTTCCTGAGGAGGATCTGTGTAGAGCTGGCACACATAGCGTCCCTCATCGCTGAGTGACACATTGGACAGAGACACCCGCAGTTCGTTGTCAGAGAAATTCACCAGCTGGAACCGGCTGTCCTTGAGAGCTGTGGGGATACATGTGAGACAGAGACAGTGAGGATACAGAGTACAGGGACACAAACACGAGACAAGGGGTGAGAAGGGAAAGGGAAAGGGGAGAATGGGAAGTGGAGAGTGGTGAGAATGGATGGAGGAAGGAGACACCGGGAGAAAATGAGACCGAGGAGGAGGAGGAGGAGGAGGAAGAGAGAAAGTGGGGGTGAGTGCTGCCCTTTTTTTTCTGGGCTTTCTCCTTAATTGAGTAAAAGAAAAGTGAGTTTCAAAATGATTCATACAAGTTGATTTATAAAGTAGCTTTACAGTCCACGGAGCACTTGCAAAGACAGGAAAGTGTGAAGAGTGCTCATGAGGACTCCTAACAAGCTAGGAACTCTTAAAATGGGCTGCGGCTGGTCATGGATGGATGCATCAAACTCACATATTCCAGAAAAAGGAGAAGCATTCAAACATACATAATGAATTAAATCACAGTGTGGAGGTAGAGAGGCTCGGATGTCTGAGACTCCAAATCAGAAGTAGCCAGGAATCTGTATACTAATGCGGGTGGAGATTGGCTGAATTTTCTATAAATGTCATCAAACTGGGTTAGCCCCTGTCTCTCAGTTTTTACTCAGTGCTTTTCATTTGGGTCAGCCCTCATCCCTGAGCACTCTTTTACATAAACAGCTTCGGTTGATTTGATTGGGAGCCCTTTTGATGTTTTGACCTGCCTTCTTTATCAAGTCCTCTCTGCGTCTGCCGAGCTAACGAACTATATTCAGCCTCTGTTTAAAGCACGGGGAGTTTATTATTCCCATCAGGCTTTACACTTAGCATCATGATCATTACCCAAGGTCTTCGGGGCAGTTCCAACATGAAACCTCATCCCCCGATATAATTTGAGAGCTCTTTGGAAGTCTCTCCTCAAAGGGAAACAATGACACTGATGCACTTTGAGTGTCGGAGCACCTGCTCGGGAGGGAAACCCTTCACATCTAAGATGCTGAATGCAGTTTATAGGAGGCTGTTTCATAACTGACTGACTGCTTACGTAAGAGCACGGAGGGTGCACAGTGCCTCGTCTTCATTAGAATGTGCACATTTTCATCAAAGTACGTCTAAAAATGACACTCATAGGTGATTAATCCGCTGATTGTTTTCTAAGTTGACGATTTGATCTTTAAAATGTCAGAAAATAATGAACAATTTCCATCAAAATAACACATTAAACTTTCTACAGATTTCCACCAAAGTAGCTAGTTCACATTCAAAAATAACAATAAAACCAATTTGCTTCCCTCTTGCTGCTAACGTAAGGTTACTGGAATTATTTTAGCCCAAAAACACGCAAAAAAAAAGAAAATGAGGACTTGATTTCCATTTACCAGGAGCTCAGAAACACCATGATTCCAAATAATGGGAATGAATACTATTGTTTCATCATGGTTGTGGTTATTTTAAATCAGCAATTTCTGTATTTGTGCTTTTAGTTTGACTTTTCATACCAGTTTAAAGATGTAATGTCATGTATTTCCTTGCACCGGTCACAATTTAGGAACATTTGGCTCAAAATGTGTTTTAAAGTCCTACTATCTCTATTTTTAAACAATATCTTTAATATGTCTTATTTAGCCATGAGTGTAACCTTGTGAAGAATTATTTAAACCCGCAGCGACGTTTCTGGCCACTTGGACGCAGCAGAATAGCAATAGTTGCTTACTGGCATGGAGCAACATTGTCATCAATTTGGGGTCTGGTTGGACACCTGAAAATTCACTTTTGTCTTTTCCGCTGTAAACACCAGCTTGCTGCGGCTACAAACGGCGCCATGTGAAAGCAAATGCAAACCGTAAAGGTGCGGCCAGACAGCTAAACGATAAACTGAAACTCGAACGAACTCTCCCACAATGTCGAGCTTGTACAATTTCACTACAAAAGTAATGATTATAACTGCTCGGGTTTTCAGAGGCTTTAAACCTGCAGGGGTTTAATGCTGAGAGGAAAGCCTTTTGACAGGGTATCACTTTAAACATTAAACCTTTGTAGCACAAAGTCAGACAACTCCTGAGGAAAGATGCAGTGAATAAATAATGGTGTTCTATTGCATCACCATCCAAGAGGTCCACCTTCGCTGATAAAGGCTCATTTTTCCCATTTCAGATGACAACTCTGCCAAATTGCATGTCATTTCGCATATATCTGGCAGAATAAATGCCTCGTCCTAACAAGACTCGCTCGGCTTCTACCTGTGACATAATTCATCTTTATTTGCCGCAACAGAAATTTGTTTATGTGGCCTGCGTTGGTACTGTAAAGCTGTTATCATTTCGGTATTTGTGTGCGTATCTGTTTCTGTGGCTGCCGCTTCCCTCTTTGCTGCTGTTCTTGTAGCTCCTGGTGTGTCTCCGTGTCACTGCTGTTTACTTCCTTGTATACAAAGATCTGCCACTGTGTCGGGCGGCCCCGTTGACAGGTAACAATGCCACTGGCTGAGGGGGGTCCCCGCAGAACCAGCGGTCCTTTAGGAACACAGCCTAGAATAGTGCTGCCATGGGGTTCACTAGACCCCATTACCAGAAACACAAATACGCAGCAGCAGCCCAATAACACTTCGGCCGCCTGTCAAAGTCTGACATATAGTCAGATCTAATTGTAGAGAAACAAAACTGTTTGTTTTTTGTAATTGACAAAGGCGCTGCATTGACTTAGGCAGAGAAAATGACATGTTTAGAGGCCCACATGGAGCAGCTCAATAACGACTGAAGAGGAAAAAAGGTTGTCTTAACCTCGTGGAAAGATTTCCTTAACAGTACAGAGCTAATATTGATTGCCACTACAATGTAAGAGCGAATTATTCATTGTTTTCTATCTACTTCATATCTTTTCTATCTACTCCGGGGTGTCAGAATACATTTTTTTATTTTTTTTAAGGTGCAGAGCACAACACACTCTCTGCTTTACATCAGTCCATTCTTCTCTGCCATACTCTCAGGCAGCTTTGGGTATTTTGTACAAATATGACGACGATGTGTACTCAAACTCCCCTGATGCTTCTCGCAAGTGAGAAAATGGAACACACGTCTCGCTACCTAGACTTGTGAAATAACAGCTGGGATGCAATATAGACTGAAATGAAGGGTGTTTCACGTTCACCTTGAATCTTGGCTCAGATCCCAGATATAAACAAGTAAAAAAGCAGAGACAAAAACTCGGTTCAAAGTAGAAGTAGCCCATATGCTCATGCATAATCATAATGTTCAATATCCTAATCTAAGAGATTATCGTAAAATCGAACAGTGACAAGGACACAAAAGTATTCCCATTATGGTAGCACTGTGAATTATCTCATAGTAATCTTGCAGCATTCTGAGCTTAATGACTTGTGTAAAAGAGCCAGAAAGTCAAGGACAGATGGAATCATGTTTGCACGGAAAATCTAACGTAAAGCTGGAGCTGGATCTTGTAGTGATATCTGATACCTCCACTGTAATGCAACAACCAGAGTGATTCCTTTGCAAAGGATGCACTGACAGTTGTAGCAGCTCTTCTCGTGCAACACAATCGCACAAATACGTTGAAACAAGCACACAGTCTGACATGTAGATGTTGTGGACACAGCGATGTAAAAAGGCACTGAATATAGAGGTGCACCGCTATTCTTATCCATTTTTTTTCCTGTAATAACATAGACTGTTGAGGCCTGCAGCTATTCATTATTAATCCGCAAATTATGCTCTTTGACAATCAATTAATTGTTTGATCTGAAAAACTGTGAAAACGTCTGGGGTCGTCACATTTGAGGAACACTACTTGATTATTCCTTTTCATTCAGGTTTCTGCTCTACTTAAGCATACATAATAAATGTTGTGTAAAAAGTGCGGATGGCAGAAATGATGACATTAGGTTGTGGGAAAGAGTGGTTGATAAGCAGAATGCCTCGTGTTGTTGTCTTATGGCTTCATCACTGGCATGTAAATAGGAAATTTAACTATCAAATAATAGATGCCTACAACATACAGTTCTGTGCTGGTATGCTACTGAGGAAAAGGTAACGGTAGGGTGAGATTTATCTCACAGTAAATCTAAAATTAGCATGATCTAATTGGTAGTAATTGTTGACATTTTGTTGTAGTGTAACATTTCTGATTGTGTGTAAATTGAAATGTAAAGTAAGTGTTTTCTATCAGAGGTCAACTGCTGAGTCTTTACAGTACAGACTAAGAATGGTGAAGAAGCTGTTCATCCTTTTGCTTACTCAGGATTATATTTAAAAAACTATAAAAGCAAGAAATTATGTGTAATTTTATTTTTTTTATTTATTTTTTTTTTTTACTGACGTCATTATGGAAATATTCTTGGTTTTAGATAGAAATCAAATCCAGATTAGCATTCATATTGGCAGAAAACCACATTTCCATCCACATTGCTCTCAGTTCTTATACACTGACCATGACTTTGCATTTCAAGACTAGATGAACTTAAAACTGCAGGAGCCGTGGTTGTCATCGTGTCTGAGGCACTTACGTCTAACATCTTTGAAGTAGATGGTCTGTCTGTTGGGGTTGAGCAGCTGGATGACGGAGTCGTCGTTGTTCTTCACTCTGCAGCTGATGGTGGCCGTTTCCCCCTCGATCACCGACACGTTGTCGGCTGCCAGGTTCTGACCTTCGACTTCGCAGCACAGGCAGAAAGCACACAAGGAGAAATGAAATTTCAAACGAGGAGCAAACATTCCTGTCGGGATATTTACAGTCTATTAAATATTTATATTGCTTACAACCGGGACTGCATGTCAACACATGCACAGAGTGAAGATACGTGAATAGGGCTGTGTAGATTGTCTGTTTGCAGCCATGTCTAATCCTTTTAATATAAGAGCCATGTGCAATGTTTGTCACTATTGATCTCCCCCAGCTCAGAGTGGGCCCTGTGAGTCAGTGCCAGATGGGCTGTAAGCTCTGCTGCCCACGAAGGTAGAGGGAGAGCGAGGAGAGGGTAGGAAGAGGAAGAAAAAAAAAAAAGAGACAAAGAGCGAGTGTAAGAAAGTGGCAAGTAGTAGATATGGGCGGGGTGGAGGAGGTGAGGAAGAGAGGGCGAGTTAAACAGAGCACGAGAGACCAGAGAGAGAGAGAGAGAGAGAGAGAGAGAGGAGATAGATGAGCCGAGCTGGATGCTGTTTATGGTTAAGCTTTATCAGAGCCCTCCATCTGAGGTTCCATGTGACCAATGTGTGCTCAGTGTGCTCAGCGGTTCTGTTCTGTATCTCGAGGAATAAAAGTGCTGTAAGGATCTGAGTCACTCTCTGTACACTGGCATTGTTGCCACCGACAGACCCTGGACCTTGTCATCGTAACTTACACCACACACCAAACCCCCGACACAAAAAGCCCGGCTTTGTCTCCCCCCCCACACACCCCCACCTTCCTGCCTCGTCTTTAGAGAGAAAGAGGAAGAGAATCAAAAGTCACCTTGTGCTATATTTATCTGGCAGGAGCCAAAAAAGCGTAAGGAGAATGAAGAATACGTTCTAATGCCTCAGATTCACACCAGTGGAGGAACACTCTCAGCCACAGCCCCCAAGAAAACATCAAAAGCACATTTGCATGCCCGAGTTGTCAGACACCTCTATTGCATTCTGACATTTACAAAGTGGAGGGGGGGAGAAAAAGCAAAAAAAAGAAACAGAAAAAGGAAAAAAAAAAAGAGAGAAAAAAAAAAACGCCTGCATTTTCAGATAGTGATAATGGGAATAGACAGGCAAACTAACATGATTCAAAATGAACTCTGTGAATGCGGCAAGCAATAAGAAATTAACCTCCTGTGGAGAAAAGCTCCTCAGACCTGTCTGATGCAATGAACTACCCATTTCATTCCACTCTGCTGCCAGGGCTCAGGTTCAGGACAAAAGGACGGTAATAGGTAAGAACAGACACAGATTATGTCCAAAAAGTACACAATGCAGCCAATTAAAGCTTGATAGCAAATCCACGCTAGATTTTAATGCGATTTATATTTACTGCTTATTAATATGCTTGACCATAATGTGATCAAATACTGGTGAATTGTACGCAGACATAAACCGAATTATAGACGGTGATATTCATGATTCTAGGTCGTACCTCCAAGTAGCCACTAGGGGCAGATAAACAAACACTAGATGCTAATAAGGGAGTACAGAATAGATAGAAATGCAGAGGTCCTCAATCTTTTTTTTTTTTTCAACAGCTGTTATATCACATATGTAATGAAGGTTTATTATCTGGATGTTATTACACACAAGTGGCCTTTTTATTTTATGTACCTGCTCTTTAAAAACTCACACACTCGTAGTACTATTATGTGAGTTTATTCAGTGAGAGCAAGACAGCACGTCAAGACTCAAAAGGTAACCGAGTGTTAATGAACCCGAGACCTCGTGTTCTGATTTTCACACAAGAACTTTCGTACTGAATAATTTTCTTGCTTTGTACAAAGATTGCACACAGGGCAAGACTGTGCAAATAAATTTGTGTTAAAGCAGGAGTTCGAGTAGCACAGAGCCAGAGTTATCTTCGGTGAAAAGAAGAAGTCCTGCGACGGGGAGCTACTGTGGTCCCTGCAGAGCCCTGATCTCAGCATCATAGAGTCAGTCTGGGATTAAATGAAGAGACAGAAGACACTGCGGCAGCTTAAGTCCACAAAAAAGAAAAAAAAAAAGCTGTGGTAAGTTCTTCAAAAAGCTTGGAAAAAGCTGCCTGCCAAGTACTTTAAAACTGTGGATTGTTAATTGATCAATAAGAACTCTTTCTTTTTCTTTTTTTTTTTTTTTTTTTTAAAGCATCCTCACTTTACTTTTGCACCGCGCATTGTGAGATACCGAATTAGGATGTAATTTAGTGTGAGTTTTGATGATCTACATTAGTTTAAAATCAGCGTCTTATTCTTGTGGGCTCCACAGGGAGTTATTAATGCACAAAAAGCCTATTATAAACCTGAATAATAGCTTTTACAACAACTCAGCTTTTTCTCCTGAATCATATAATTTGCTCCTGACCCGTTAGCAGCCAGGTCCAGTGCTGCATTGGGAACCACTGAATTAAGGAATAATTACAATGAGCCATTAGTTGCTTTCTCGCCGCGTGAGTTGCACGCCGTCTGGAAAAAAAATAAAATAAATAAAAGGAAGATAGTCGTCAGCATCAAATCAAAAATAGTCTTCATGTGTGTAATGAGTGTAATCAAGTGGAGCTCCTCTGTACATGTTCTGAGCGCCGCGAAAGACGAGGCGAAAGTAATGTGAAGTGTTTTGATGTCTGTTTTATTTCATCGCTGTAAAAGTAATATATTTGGCAGTCAAAACAGCAACATAGAGCAGCCTCAAAGCAAGGTTATTCTGCTCCCAATCTGTTGGACTGAGAGAAAGGGAACGCAAAAGATAAATTCTCCATAAGGTTTAGCAGCCCCAAGCAAGGTTGGTCCCCCTCCAATATCCCAGCCTAGGCTCATCTCCAATTCAAAACACACATAAATAACGTCGCTGTGATTAGCAATCCCATCAAAGTGAAAACAGGCCACTTTGTGGAACATGGAGGGTTTTCGCAATTGAAGTAAACATTTTCAATTGCCTCGGCATCCTGGTCATGATTGGGTGCAAATGAGGAGAGGCAGTCATTAATTCTGGGTGGTGGGTGGGGATGGAGGGGGAGTGGGCAGAGGCATGGCACAGATGACTGGCTGATAAATTCACACTCATTCCAGCAGCTGTCTGGGAGAGTAAAGTGCCTGTATCTCTACACATGGCTGCCCTCCTGTTCCTGCATCACAACATACTGAATGAAACAGTCAGAGGGAAATACAGACCTTCAAAAGTCTGTGCGCTCTCCAAGGGGATGTACAATCTGGCATCGAGTGTCTGGCATGGAGGCTCGGGCTCATCAGCCGTACTCAAAATGCAAAACGGCACCAACCTGGACCAATTTTAACAAAAGTTGACGAAATCAGGAAATATTAGTGGACCGGCTTCTCCATCAGAACTTTCGGAGACAGGTACCTTTTGAATCAAGCTGGCTCCCGCTTTGAACTTTTCTCTCTTGTTTTCACATCAAAAGACATGAAAGAGGCAGCAAAAAGCAGGACAGCCAGCCCCCAATTCCTCTCCCTTGAGTCACCGCTGTCTGCAGCAGTCGTGTCCTTTCAAGGAACAACCAGGACTATAGACAGTCATTAACAATAAAAGTTTCTGCCTCTCCTTCTCTGATGCCGCCTTCCCACTCTTTATCCCCCTCAGTCATTAAATCCTGATCCTTATGATGAAATGCTGTTTTAAGGACATCACAAGTAAGAAGGTCTGTGTCTCAGGGTATAATTAGCGTCGTGCCATTTCTCCTAGACCCTTTGCATGGATAGGTTTCAAAAATTTCATACCCACTAATTTGAACATCTTTTTTTCTTTTCTTACTAAAGATAAGCTCTATTAGAAGCTCAGTGTGCCTGTTTGTATAATGATGCTGCAACACAACTAGAAAATAAGGATGCTCAGCCTGAGAAAGCATCTTTTACCAAAGGAAATATAACAAGGTGTTGTTTGTCTGATGTGTAGGAAATTTACAAATCAACTAACGGTGGAGCAGCACAGCGGTTAGCGCCGTAGCCCTAAAGCTGATCGGACGGGGTATTCCTATGTGGAGTTTGCATGTTTTCCAGTTACTCCAGCTTGTATTGAAATACATGCACTGTAGGTTAATTGGTGATTCTAAATTGAACCATGGACTGGCGACCGATCCAGGATGCACCCTGCCTCTCGCCCAATGTCAGCCGGAGCAGCATCCAGCCCCCCGACGATCCTCTGCAGAATAAAGCGGGCATAGCTAATGAGTGGGCAACTAACAGCTTTAGCAGTGGCTTTAAGGAACAGTTTTAAGCCATTAATAAGGTTGTGAAGGTTGTGAAAAATCCCTTTAAATGATGTTCACTTCCTTTCCAGAAAGGGGCAGCTTATTAAAAACTTATTAAGTGGATTGCGATTGGATTCCAAAACTTCACATGACAATTTCTAACCAAATTACCCCCTCTTAATTAAATGTTTTACACCATTAGAAAAAGTTTGGATTCCAAATTCGTCAGCTACTGAGGAATGTATCTGAAGAATTACGAACGCAATGAAGTGAAACATGGTACTGGTTCTCCTTTAGTGTTTACAGCTAAACTGTACTCTGCACACTGGTTATTTCTTAAAAGTTGGTTCAAATAATAAAAAGTGCATTTTGGTTTTATGAATCATTTGGCTTCATTAGCAACACCAGCTGAAACCTGATAATTGCTTTCCGTAATACACAGTAACTTCACGTTATATTAAAGAGAAAATGAAGGGTTAGTACAGCTGCTGAGGCGAAGCTGCAGTTTGAAGTGAAGAGATCAGAGGAAGGAGGAAACAGACATCTACCTGGAAGGTTTTCTAAGACGGCAATAGGTGCTTTAAGAGCCAAATGTTGTACATCTACTCGAATGGCCAGGTTAGTCATAGTCAGGTGTAAAAAGCTCATAATTTTGCAGTTTGTTAGTTTGGCTTTTATAGCCTTTTCGCCTCTCAAGCTTTCTGGGCTCTCATGTGCATTTTACAATGATTCACCATGCTTTTGTAATTTCCGAAACAATCCAGCATTGTTTTCACACAGAGGCGAAAAAAAAATCAAACTTATCATTTTGAGCATTTCTTCTTACTGAAATAAGAGCCGCCTTTAGCAGATCTTATCAGCTGCAGCTAATAGACACTAAACACTCCTGATATCATGTAATAGGCTGAAGCTGAAGCAACACATAACACAACTAATAATGTATGTAGAAGATGTGATGTAGCCTGAACAAACAGCATTTTGTTAGTCACACATAGAAAGAAGTGCAATATTTCCACTTTAACTCTGTTTAGCTGCGACAAGGTTACATTTATGCTTAAGAGTTTGTATTTCCAAATTTTATATTTTAACATTTGCAGAAGAAAAAAGCTTTTGGGACGACAACTAACTGATGTGCTTGACTGTGATCGCTGGAGTGTAAACATCCCCAAATCTAATAAAAAAAAAGCAGGACATCATCTAACCCCCCTGAAATGGTAGCACCCAGGAGCTGCTGGGAAATGCTATGGACTGAATGTTCCTGTCATGAGAGGTCTTTTTCTTAACATAACATGTAACCTCGCAAAATAGCTGATGATGTGGTCCTTGGGAATGAGAAGTAGCAGCAGCCAGCATGCAAGTTAGCCGAACATGCTGACGCTTGCAGCTCGCAGCGGAGACAAACACGCTGTCTAATCCAATCCTTACAATTTTGCCATTGTGTTTTTTTGGTTTTGGAAAGGGTAAAATAACAAAGGGAGGAGGTTAGCAAACAGTCAGGAGGAAGTGTGTCAAAATGGACAAATTGAAAAGAGGGAGGGGACATTAAATAGTATGAACAAAAAACTGCAATCTGCCATTGCATGTGGCGAAATGTTGATTTGAGATTTACAAATGAAGGCAGTGGATCAGTGCTTTTGAGAGCATGGCTATCTTCTCCTTCCTGAAAGGAAATACCAACATAATCAGCCATTCATGTAAATATGCACAGATGAACAGACTGCGATGGACAGCCAATCAACAGACACAGACAGAAGCGAGCGCGTCCAAATGAACAGCAGGTAGCAAAAAGAAAAAGTACCTGTCACGGTTTCAGCAGCTCCTGTTGCAGCGCAGGCGAGGACGAGAGCAGAGGAGAGAAAAACAGACAGGTTGTGAGCAGACAGGAAGCAAGCAGAGAGCCATATTCCACTGGTAACAGAAGAAGAAAAAAACTTATTCACAATTTCTAAATAGGCATTCTGAAATTCATTAAATTCAAGCTCCATATGCTATTTGTGTAATTTCCCACCAATTAAGGAAAATACAAAAGCCTTCATAATGAGTAATTTTTTACTATCCAGCCATTCTATTTTTCCACAGGTGTGTGTGCGATCCCGACATAATGAGGCTTCCCCCCCCCCACCTCCTCCTTCCCTTCATTCATTTTCCTGAGTGCCATATTCATATGGCGGAACAGAGGGAATATGTGGACTTTGTTTTCTTTCCTCCCCTCATGTCCCTGATTGAGATTCCAGCCAGCCCCGCTGTGGAGCAGCCACTGCCTGGAGACGCTCCCCAGGGACCCGCGGTGTATCCTGGAGAAGAGAGCACCCATTCGGAACGGTGCCCACCCAAACTGGCATCTCGCAGGGCATGGGAGACTGGCGTGTTCCCAAGTCCCTGCAGCATTGCTCAGGGCCCGTACCCTCGGGAGAGCTCCCATCATTCATTGTCTGCTATTCATAAACAACTCCCCCTCCTCCTCACTCACCTCACCCCCCCCCCTTGCCCTCTGCTGCTGCCGCTGCACATCCACATCTACATTTTTATATTTCACACGCCACCTTTTATTGTATTGGCATTTCACACAGACTTTGGGGCTTCTTTGCTCTGGCTGTGAGCAATAGAGGCTTCAGTGCCAAACGTACAGTATGTTGAAGTGACTGCTTGTCTCGCTTGTCATTGCCGCCGTAATAAGGGTGTAAGGTATGACACATGTCCTTGTTATGCTCCTTTGTGCATTTTCGACGTGTCAGCATTTCCCTCAGGACAAAAAAAAAAAAAAAAAAAAGTGTGAGTGACAAATCACACACGACGCGAAACAAATTTTGAACATTGTCCAGGAGCCCGCTACGATATCTCGCCAGCTTAAGCCTACGCTTCTTGAAAAACTTGGAGTGTCAGTCAGAACTTTATCCTTATTATGTGGTAATTCAGCGTAATGAGGCTTCTGGGTGACTTGAGCAGAAACAGAAATGGCGAGTGATGGAGGTTGATAGTCAGACTCGAGCATCAATGAGCACACCGTATGTGTCCCAGTCCAACCAGCCCTCAGGACAGCCCATAATGAGGCTTTTGAGCTGCTTTAATTGCCAGGTAATTATAATGTTGTAGCAACATTATGTAAATGACTCATTATCATCTTGTATGTGTAGTATATCTGCCCTCGTTTTATGTTACTCTGTCAGCGGTGTAACCCAGAAAAATGTATCACCCTGATACCGGAGCATCTCAGTGTTTAATCTTGTCAACAGAGACCTATATCTACACACACAGACTTGTGATATAGTGTGGTGACACCTTCCCTAACCCTTCAGTATGATCCACTTCCTGCTGGTGGCCTCTGAAGGGGCTATAAATAGCGTTTGCGGTGTCGGCGACGGCGGCGGCAGGCATCGTGCCGTGCTCCCCCGTCTCCCCTCCGTACCTGCAGCACATTAGGTAGAAGTTATGAGGTGCCAGCTCGCCTGTGATTAGATGTCATGGCTGTCGCTCTGCTTAGACAGTGCTGATAGACAGATTTCTGGGGGAAACGCGTGCGATGGCATTCGTGCGAGTGCACCCATTGCACCAATCTGTCAATCACCCGAGATGAGAGCAGGCAGGCCAGCCGTCCTCCAAATAATGTCTGTCCTTGTCTCCTCACCCCCGTTTTCTCCTTCTCATCCCGAGTCTCATCCTCCTGTTCTGCACGATGAGCGGCATAATGTTTAGAAACAGGGAAAAGTGGAATGTTTCGCGCTCTCCACCTACAGCGAGGCTACTTTTCCTGCTCGTCGCGAGCCTTTCAAAGGGCATATTCTTGCACTTACATTACATTTTCCATAAGAGGAGAGCCTCTAAACGCTCTGGTATTCATGGATCTGTGTTCAACCCATTGCCACAGCGATGAATCCATAATACACTATTGTGCACTATTTTTTCATCACTGAGAAAACTGAGAGCTCTGGAGACAAGATGTCTGTGTGGTAAGAGTGGCACATAGCCTCTCTCTCTCCCGCTCTCTCTCTCTCTCTCTCTCTCTTTCGCTACTGCTCAGTAAAAGCAGTGGGGTAACACTAATGAGGCAACATTTCTTCTCAGTACGAGTGTGATGCCTTTGAATTAATGTTCTTCCTTTCAGGTAAAACATTCCCTTGCTTATTTATGCTCATGATCTGCAGCGTGTTGCATGTCAACCTCGTGTGTGATCGTACTGCATAAGAGGACACAACAGAGCAGGATGCTGGAGCTCTGTGTAGTTCCCCATAGAGACACCCACATCGGTTACCTTCGTGACTGTGTGTCTGCGTGTGTGTGTGTGGAGAAAAGCTGTCTTACTGCGGGTAGCCCACTGTGTTTTCATTTAATTAGAAGGATCAGAGGTGAGCTTCAAACTTTTTCTCTTCAAGGAAATCGGATGGAGAAGCGAGCTCCTGCAGAGTGGACCCAATAAACAGGGACGACTTTTGAGGTCAGGATTTTCACAAAAGAAAGAGATCAAAAAGTTTCAGCTTTCATCGAAAGACAGAAGAGGAAAGGAAAAAAAAAAAAAAAAACTGTGTCCAACACCTGACGCAAGTCTTTGTTGTCAGGCATAATCATTTTCAGATCCACATTAAACAGCTCATATATTTTCCTACAGATATACCGCATAAATGGCCTTTATTTTTGCTTTGAACTAGTGCTGCGGATCCTAACTCATTGTCCACCTAATAGCGTTCTTCAGAGTTTTCTGCCATATCATTCCTCCAGCATTCATCAGTACAGGCAATGGCTGTATTACAAAATATTAGGTATCACGACAACTAAGCAAACTTCACACTGGAGCTGAAATGATGTCTCTCCTAATTGATAACAGCTAAACTGTGTACCACATAACCGCCATGTCCACGGTTTAATACCCAACTAAGGAACCTTGAGACTGTCAAAATCAAGGCAACATACCCAAAAAATACCTGTAAAAACTAATCATTCAAGTTATTTTAAACATAAATTCATTACTTCATTGATCGGGCAAGTAAATGCTGCAACCAGTAATTAATCTGTAATGAAAAAAGTCATTAATTGATTGTTAAGCACTTGAAAAAAAGCTAATAAATGGGCCCTGACTTTAAATAAAACACATGAGGAGCCTTTAAAGTTTTTTCTGGGGATGAAATAATAACAGCTGCTGAGTGTGCAAGAGAGCAAACTCCATCTAGCAATGAAAAATGCATGACTTAAAGCTGGAATCTGCGATGGACGTCCCTAATCATGTATTTACACAAGCCTCTGAAGGTTGGTGTGATCTTGTTGCGCGAAAAAAAAAACAATCTATGTTTTCTGCTTATTTTTCCTTTCTTCTAAAAATAGCAGCACTAATTCAGTTACATTTTCTCTACACACTTGACCCACTTCTTTTATTATCAGCTCCCAGGTGCAGCCTAATCCAGCCAGCAAGATATCAGAAAACGCTCACCTGTAAACACAACTGGGAATATTCCGATTAATTCTCCCCAGGGTCGACTGAGACATATTAATCAGGTAGGCTTACAGGAGATGCAAAGTTTCTGCTTGATAAACTGTAACAAAAAAAAAAAGAAAGAAAAAAAAAAGAGGTTTTTGCAAATATCCCCTAAAGAGGTAGGTAATTGCTCTCTGTTAATGGGATATGCTTTGTGAACGCC